CAAAAAAAAAAAAAAAAAAAAAAAAAAAAAAAACCAACATGGCTTTGTAAAGACAAAAAAATTCACATGTTTAAGACTAAGACGAATTGAGATTAAGATGGGCTAATGTGTTGATTCATTTCTCCTGAATAATGATAACAAAAATTATCTGCTCTGACATTCTGACATTTATTGAGGACTTACTGTGAACCTGGCATTTTGCTAAGCACTCTCTATACATCTCATATAACACTGCTGTTATATGGAGTACACACTATATTACACATGACAACATTTCACAGATGAGAAAAGGAAGGCTTAAAGAGTTTAAGTAATGTTCTAAGACCAAGCTGTGGACTTTGATTTCAAACTCAGAACTGGCTCATGTCCTCTTAACCATTAGGTTTGCTGGAAGTCAGGACTGGTATTCCCCAGGCTCACATTCTCCAAACCTCTGAACTTTAAATCGTATCTAGTTGGGTTATGGGTATTTAGTTCATTCTGTAGCAGCTGGATCTTCCACATGATGTAATCTCCAAATTGCTCAACAAAGACATTGTTGTTAATAGAGTCCCCTGAGGTCAATTAAAGAATCAAAATCAAAGGGGAGAAGAGGGTGGTATTTTGACCAGAGAGGAAAAGGCCAATGATTTAATTTGGGAAGACTCTTTTTAAAAAATATATTTAAAAATTTGTTGTGATCAAAATTTAAATAAATCCAAAAAATTAAATAAATCATGTAACTCACTAAGTACAAAATAATTCATCACCTTCCTTTATTATTTACCCCTTATTTTATCCGAATGTTTATAGCTAAGATTTTCTTAAAACAGGTTACCCATGATTACAGCTGCCTGAGAGACCTGTCTCATGGTGTGTATATATGTTTCACTGAAGGCAATTTGGGAATGTGTGTTGGATCAAGATTCAGAAAATGTAGACTTGGATTTTCCATTTATTATGCTAGTAAACTTATTCAATCAGCTTACCATCTCTGAGCCTTATTTTCTCAAGTCTGAAATGGGGATAGTAATACTGGCTTATCAGTACTTCCTGCACAGGATTCTCATACAGAATTAAATTCATTTATGTATTTGAAAAATATGAAATCCTATATCCAAGGAAAGGATCGGTGTAATTACTGAAAAGAAGAAATCCTAGTGTACCTCGGGATCTTTTACTACCATTAGCATCACTTTAAAAGGTACAGAAAATGAAAGCTGTGTCAATGCATGTTATAAGTAATGTTTTCCCTTTTTGTCTTCATTTTAATTTTTTTAAATGTTGTTTTAGATTTAGGAGGTACATGTGCAGGTTTGTTACATGGTGGGTTAGTCTGTTTTGCATTGCTGTAAAGGAATACCTGAGACTGGGTAATTCATAAAGAAAAGAGGTTTATTTGGTTCATGGTTCTGCAGGCTATACAAGCGTGACACCAGCATCTGTTCAGCTTATGGGGAGGCCCCAGGGAGCTTTTACTCATGGTGGAATGTGAAGCGGGAGCAGGCATGTCACATGGTGAGACAGGGAGAAAGAGAGATGCTAGGCTCTTTTAAACGTTCATATTTCACAGTACTAATAGAGTGAGAACTCATTCATTATCATGGGGAGGGCACCAAGCCATTCATGAGGGATCTGCCCCAATGATCCAAGCATCGCCCACTAGTCCAAATCTCCAATACTCAGGATTACATTTCAACATGAGATTTAGAGGTGACAAACATCCCAATTATTTCACATGGATATATTGTGTAATAATGTGGTTTGGACTTCTAGTGAAAGCATCCATAATCCAAATAGTGAACATTGTACCCAATAGATAATCTTTCAACACTCACCTTCCTCCCACCCTCCCACCTTTTGGAGTTGCCAATGTCTATGATTTCCATTTGGATGTCCATGTGTACCCATTGTTTAGTGAGAACATGTGGTATGTGATTTTCTGCTTCTGAGTTATTTCACTTCTGATACTCTTCTAAAAGTGAGAGTTTAGGTTTTCTGATAGGTATACCATTAGATGATAATTGTACTCTTTAGCATTTGGAATCAAAGTGTATTATGGTTTGCTCAGCCAAAGCTCTTAGCTCTGGATCTGGTTTGGAAGAAATAGAGCAGTCTATTCTCATCTGGACCAATCCTGGGAAACATCCTCATCTCAATTAACCTATAAGTTACATCACAGGTTTTTTGTCTGTTTTGTTTTTCTGTCACCACGATTCCTCATCCAGTGGCTCTTGTGGAAGAAAGCAATGTACAGAACAGGCACATTACAAAACAGTAATATTTATTGAATGCAGGAAGTGGCACCAATAGGTTTTTTTTGTTGTTGTTGAGACAGTGTCTCCCTCTCTCTCTCTGTCACCCAGGCTGGAGTGCTGTGGTGCAATCTCTGCTTACTGCAACCTCCACCTCCTTGGTTTAAGCAATTCCCCTGCTTCGGCCTCCCGAATAGCTGGGATTACAGGTGCATGCCACCACACCTGGCTTTTTTTTTTTTTTGTATTTTTAGTAGAGATGGGGTTTTACCGCATTGGTCAGACTGGTCTCAAACTTCTGACCTCAGGTAATCCACCTACCTCAGCTTCCCAAAGTGCTGGGATTACAGGTCTGAGCCACTGTGCTGGGTCTTTTCTTTTTTGGGGGACAACGTCTCACTTTGTTACAAAGACTGAAGTGCAATAGCACAATCACAGCTTATTGCTGCCTCAACCTCTAGGCTCAAACAATCCTCCCATCTCAGCCTCCTGAGTATCTGGGACCACAGACATGTGCCACTGCACCCAGCTAACTTTTGTAGCTTTTGTAGAGATGGGGTTTTGCTGTGCTGTCCAGGCTAGTCTCAAACTCCTGAGCTCAAGCAATCTTCCAGCCTTGGCCTCCCTCAGTGTTGGGCTTATAGGCATGAGCCACTGCACCTGGTTACAAGTCTTAAATGACAAAAAGGAGTGAGCTAGATAAAAGAGAAAAAGGACATTTCAAGTAGAGAGCATAACATGTACAAAAACTGGGCAATGTGAATTGTTTAGGAAACTACAAGTGGCTGGGGGTGGCTAGAGGAAAGGCAGTGTGATAGAGAGGTAGGGCAGCTTAGCCACAGCCACTGCCAGGACTCTAGAGCCTGTCAACTTTGTTTGAATCCTAGTTCCACCTCTCTCAGCTGAGTGTCTTTGGGCTAGTTATACAACCTTTCTGTATCTACCTCATGGGATTTAGAACTATTAAATGAATTATGGTATCTTAAATGGTTAAAATATTGCATCATAGAGTACTCCTACTATTCATATTGTTATTGTGAATGGTGAGATAGGCAGGGGACAGGTCCCAGAGGCTCCTACATTAAAAGGAAGAAAATTAAAACTATGTGCCAAAAGCCATGGCGAGGTTTAGAAGGTTTTTGTAAGAAGTAAGGAGAAAGTGTGTGATTTGATTTTTAGAAAGGTTATTCCAGTACCTGGATAGCAGAAGACGGATCAAAGGGAATCAAACTAAAGACAGGAAGGCCAGTGAGGAGGCAACTGTAGTAATCCAGATAAGAGAAATGGAAACTTAAACTAAGTCAATGCCAGGTGCAGTAAAGAGGAGTGAGAGCATCAGGTGAGAGTGAGCAGGAGAAGCCACAGGCCTGGGTTCCTGAATCTCAGTTGTCAGGCCTCGTCAGTTGGATGATGTGGATACCACTCACCAAGAATGGGAATGCCAGGAAAGAAATGGATTTGGAGAAATATGGGGGAGCTTAGTTCTGTACATGTTGTCTTTGGTTTTGGACATACTGGGTTTGAAGAGAACAGCCAAGTACTGATGCTTAGTAGGCAATGGATAAGTAGGCTGGGTGCTTCAGCAAGCAATCAGAACCTTTTGATAAGAAACCTTGCCCATTTAGAAATGAAGCTGTTCACTGTTTACAATAGCAAAGACCTGGAACCAACCCAAATGCCCATCGATGATAGACTGGACAGGGAAAATGTGGTACATATACACCACGGAATATTATGCAGCCATCAAAAACGATGAGTTCGTGTCCTTTGTAGGGACATGGATGAACCTGGAAACCATCATTCTCAGCAAACTGACACAAGAACAGAAAATCAAACACCGCACGTTCTCACTCATAGGCAGGTGTTGAACAATGAGAACACATGGACATAGGGAGGGGAGCACTACACACTGGGGCCTGTTGGGGGGAAATGGGGGGGACTGGAGGTGGGGAGGTGGGGAGAGATAGCATGGGGAGAAATGTCAGCTATAGGTGAAGGGGAGGAAGGCAGCAAATCACACTGCCATGTGTGTACCTGTGCAACCATCTTGCATGTTCTTCACATGTACCCCAAAACCTAAAATACAATAAAAAACAAACAAACAAACAAAAAACAAATAGAAATGAAGCTGTTTATACTTCCGGACTGGAGAACAAATATTTTTTGTTAGTTGTTCAACTAACAACTTACCTGCTCCTGTTTACCTTCTCAACTCTTTGGCAAAACCAAGTTTGTGTTAAGTTCCTGCTTTTTGATGCACCGTAGTGGTTTGTGTTTTCTGACTCAAGAAGTATATAGAATGACTCACTTTTTTTTGGTTAGACTCAAACCTAAGAGAATGAAGAACTAGAACTTCTGGAAACCATCATATAACCAATGGCAATAATGTGGGTGATCTTTGCCTTAATTATCAATAGTCATATTCAAAAGATTCACTAAATCCCATCTGGAAAAATGGAGACTTTTTGAGATTCTTTTGGAAGTTCAAGAGCATTATCATTGCTTATTCAGTAGTGTCTGAAACAAAGACACTGCCAAAATTAGACATATCCTCATTGCTTTGGCTATATTTTGAGAATTTTGTCAACTGACTCTCTTTGCGATGTCCTTCCTTTGGACATATAATATAATAAATATCCAGTAGTTATTTGAATGTGTGCATCTGGTTGCAAAATTGGCATGTGTGTATATGTATAATGTGCTTTTAGTTTTACACTGTTTAGTCACTCAAAAATTTTATGATGACTCTGCAACTTTCCCCCATAGGTATCTCTGATGAATACATAACACCTATGTTTAGTTTTTATAAAAGTATTGGGGAACTGAAAATGACTCAAGAGGAGTATGCTCTGCTTACAGCAATTGTTATCCTCTCTCCAGGTAATTTCAATGTTACATTTTATTTTTTATGCTATTTTTTCAGTATACTAGTAATAATGTTTATTGAAAAAAGTCTGGAAAACACAAAAACGTAAAGAAAAAGTAAAGTGGCCTGTAATTTTACTATCCAAATAGAACCATTATTAACCTTTCAGTGCAATTCTTCTCAGTCTCTTTTAAAAAATCACACTTACTAATTCATTAAATGTATATTGAACACCTGCTATGTAATAAACGTGGTGTGAAACACTGGGGATGCAACAAGATACAGCTTCCATGCAGCTGACATTCTAGCAGGATGAGAAAGATGATAAATGAAAAAACAAGAATATTTGTTCAGAAGGTGGTAAATGCTACAAAAATATAATGACAATATAAAGAAAGAGAGTGTCAGGAAAATGGTATCTATGGTCACAGAAGGCTTTTCTAAGTGCGTAGCATTGGAGCACAGATCTAAATGAAATTACATACTTTTTAACATAATAGGGAACTTTTTTCTGAGTTTATATTTCTTTGAAAGTCATTTCCCAAGTCACTAAAAATTACATTGGTAAAGTTTGTTGTAATATGTACAACATATTCCATTGTATGAATATATAATCATTTACTTAATCTTTACCAAATGTTTGTATATTCCGGATATTTCCAGGTTTTTTTCTAAAAAATGTTGAGATGAATACCTCTATCTATAACTTCTTCTATATTTTTGGGTTACTTTAGTCATATGGGAGTCAATAATGCCATGTTCATTATTCCTAAAACATAATTACAATGTTACCCTTAGACTATTTTATACATTATATTGAGGCAGAAGCTAGTTGTTACTTTGATTTACCATGAAAATAACAATTTGTGACTAAAAAAACTATTCAGCAGAACCTACTAAAGTTATGCATGGATATGCCTTATGGCCTAGTCATTTCAAGTCTGAGAATATACTTGCTAGAAAGGATGCTCACATCCACTACAGGGGTTTTGACTGGACGGGAAATTAGGGAGGCTTCTGGGAAGCATTACATGTGTTGTATCTTGATCTCGTTATAATTACATGTGTGTGTCCATAAAAATTCGTCATGTTGAACACTTAAATTTTACCTTTTGTGTATAACATTTGTAAACATACACTTCAAAATAGTTAATGTTGCTATAATTGTGTCGAATTCATGCTTTTCCACTTTTTAATTTTGTCGTTTTATTTTAAACTTCAAAACAGATAGACAATACATAAAGGATAGAGAGGCAGTAGAAAAGCTTCAGGAACCACTTCTTGATGTGCTACAAAAGTTGTGTAAAATTCATCAGCCTGAAAATCCTCAACACTTTGCCTGTCTCCTGGGTCGCCTGACTGAATTACGGACATTCAACCATCACCATGCTGAAATGCTGATGTCATGGAGAGTAAACGATCACAAGTTTACCCCGCTTCTCTGTGAAATCTGGGATGTGCAGTGATGGGCATCACAGGGGAGGGGTCTAGCTCCTTTTTCTCTCTCATAATGTTAATCTGATGTATAACTTTCCTTTATTTCACTTGTACCCAGTTTCACTCAAGAAATCTTGATGAATATTTATGTTGTAATTACATGTATAACTTCCACAACTGTAAATAACGGGCTAGATAGAACAACTTTCTCTACATTGTGTTTTAAAAGGCTCCAGGGAATCCTGCATTCTAATTGGCAAGCCCTGTCTGCCTAATTAAATTGATTGTTACTCCAATTCTATCTGTTGAACTAGGGAAAATCTCATTTTGCTCTTCATCTTACCATACTGCATATATTTTATTAAAGAGTTGTATTCAATTTTGGCAATAAAGCAGACATAATGGCAATAGGCTTTTCTTTGGGAACAAAATTTGATAAATATACAAACTCATTTCTTTAAATGTTGAAAGCCAGGCTATTGAATCTGAGGGGATAATTTACAGAAAGATACTGTCTCTCATTACATCAGTGGAACTTTTCTCATCCCTGGAAAAGTCCTGGTGAATAGTCATTCATTTGTAACAGCCCTCTGATCATTTTCTTTTCTTTGAAGTTCAAAGAGAATAGCATACAGAAAAGTTAACAATTTTCACACAAAATATTCCCTAAAGCAATCCCTTTCCTTAGTCTTGAGAAAGGATTCACAAATTCAGAGTCTGCAGATAACCGCAGTGATGGGACCTTCCCCTTCCTGTCTTAAAAGTGCTCACCATTGGCTTCATTGTATCCAATTATTCATATTTCTATTTCCTTTTGCTTTTTGATAACATTCCTATAGCTGGGTACATAGCTGCTGTATATTTCCCCCAAAGCAGGAATTAGTTCATTTCCTTCCCTCATTGTTACACTGTTGCATTCTTCTTCCCATTATCCTTTGGTGAATACAATGAAACACCTTCTATAAGTAATGGGCTTATATCTCCCTTTCTCCTAAAGTTAGCCAAAGTGGAGCATGTTTAGCAAGCAGGTTTTTTTTTTTTTTTTTTTTTTTTTTCTGTATCAAAATACTAGGACAACCCTGGAATTCTAAAAATAACCAGTCAGTGGAAAACTGATTGGGTTAGGGCTAGTATCAGTTGGATTCTGATACAACAAAAATGTCTTGAGTTCCCCATACAAGATTCATTTGCTAAGTTCATGGATGATACAAAAATGATTAAGACCCAGTAACAGGACTGAGCCCAGTGGCTCACACCTGTAATCTCAGAACTTTGGGAGTTTGAGGCTGGAGGATTGCTTGAGCCCAGGAGTTTGAGACCTGCCTGGGCAACATAGGGAAACCCTATCTCTACAAAAAATAAAAATAATAAAATCAGCCAGGTGCAGTGGCTTGTACCTGTGGTGGTACCAGCAACTTGGGAGGCTGAAGCAAGAGGATTACTTGAACCCAGGAGTTGGAGGCTGCATCGAGACATGATTGAACCACTGCACTCCAGCCTGGGCAACAGAACAACACCCTGTTTTCAAAAAAAAGAAAGAAAGAAAAAGAAAAATCCCAGTAACTGCCTGGAGGGAGTTATGAAGGCTGCAGTGGAACTTGCTGTAGGTTTACCCTGGAACCCAGAAAAGTTTCATAGAGAAGATGATACCTCTGCTGGGCTTCAAGGGATAGCCCCAAATTCAGTGGGTCCAGGTAGGAGGGAAGGGGTTCAAGGTGAAAGAGGTGGCAGAAGCAAAAGGAAGAAGGTGATGAATTGTACAGATATTGAAAGACCATACATAATTTGGGGATGGAGGGAGGGGGTGCATAATCTCTTTCTAAATTTCAATTTCACCATCGTAAAATGCAGAGATCAATGTTTACTGTTTAAGGGGATTTAGCTTATTAATCAAAAGTAAGTGGGAAGTAGCAGGCCCACCAGGGAGAGGGTTCATGAGAAAAGCACACTGAAGAAAGATGTAAATTTCTGAATGCCTGAAAATGTAGCTCTAGTTCATGGGAGCTGAGTGCAATTTGGTGTCTCCAGATCTCATGACATCTGTGCAGACAGCACTGAGAAATGAGCCCAGAACTGGTGGGGCACTGGAGGCAGAGCAAGAAGGTTAATCCTATAGGTCAGGATTTATTCAAGTGGTTAAGACCTTGTAATAGCAAACAATAATGTTCATCACATGGAAAACTCATAGTCATACTATTAGTGTCAGGCCTCCAAGTCCAAGCCTGGCCATTATAGCCTTGGTGACCTGCACATACACCTCCTGATGGTCTCCAGGAGCCAGAAAGTCTGAAGTAACCGGATGGCCACAAAGACACATGAAACGACTGGGTCCTGCCTCAACTAATTGCTCTCCCCCTGCAACATTCGAACATTGTTCCTGCTCAGCCTTGCGAAATATCCCCCTAGACATTGGGTTTCTCAAGACCCCCACCCCTGTAACTATGTGATTTACCACACCCTTCCCTATACTTGAAACCGATAACTCCCACCCTCATGACCATGCCTGTTTGTAATAGATAACCCCTACCCTTGTGACCATGCATCCCGTGATGCCCTCATCCTCCCTAAAATAGATTACCACCTTTAACTGACCATTTGCCCCAACCCATATAACCAGTTCCCATTTTTACGCCCCTCGTGTAACTCCTTCCTTGGAGTTGGCCCGTTGGCACCCAAATGCGAAATAAAATGGCCTCCTTGCCCATACAAAGCCTGCCTAGTGGTCTCTTTATGTGAGCGATGCACCTGAAAATAAGAAATACATATCGTATTTTTGTTCCTGGTTTCTGACACAGCTTCTAAAAGCCTTGGGATTTCCTGAGTGTAGGGGTAATAAGAACATCTCTTGGTGGAAATAAAATACAAATGAAAGAGGAGTATCTCCCTTGCTCTGATATGCATTTTTATGGGTCATTTTCCACACTAGTAGAGTGATTTTTTGTTCTAAAATGCAAATCTGGTTATGTGCTCCCCGTCCCACCTAATGATTTCCTATTGGCTTCAGCAGAGACCTGGAGCTCCTTGGGAGAGCATTTGGCTACTGAGACCCCCTTCCCCACTCAGCACCTGCCGCTACTATCTGATCCTACAGGTTTTGTCTCCTGCTTCAGCTATACTCTAGGCTTCCAAATAAATTGCGTTCCCCAGAGGTTTATATTCTCTTACACCAAATGCGAAAGAAAGGATAGAGACGGGAAAATAAAGGTGTTTGCTTGTTTTCTTCCTTTTCCCTTTCACCCCAGGCCCCAAGTAGGGGTGATTTTGTGTCTCAGGGGGATATTGGTAATGTCTGGAGACAGTTTTGGTTTAGAGGTGCTACTGGAATCTAGTGGAGCTAGTGATGCTGCTAAGCTTCCTACAACGCACAGAATAGTGCTGAGGTTGACAAACCCCACTCTCTCCTATCCTGTGTTAGTTCATTAAGGCTACTGTAAAAATATACCATAAGCTGGGTAGCTTATAAACAACAGGAATTGACTCCTTACAGTTTTGGGAAGTCCAAGATGAAGGCACTGGCATATTCAATGTCTGGTGAGGGCTTCATGATTCCTAGATGGCACCTTCTAAATGCGCCCTCACACGGTGAAAGGCATTAGCTAGCTCTCTGGGATCTCTTTTATAAGGGCACTAATCCCAGTCATGAGGCTTTGCCTTCATGGCCTAATCACTTCCCAAAGGCCCTACCTCCTAATACTATAGATTTAGGGGTTAGGATTTCAACATATGAATTTTGGGGGAACACAAATATTCAGACCATAGGATATCCCAAGAAAACATGACCCCAGCTGGGCACTGTGGCTCACGCCTGTAATCCTAGCACTTTGGGAGGCCAAGGTGGGCAGATCATGAGGTCAGGAGACCGAGGCCATCCTGGCCAACATGGTGAAACCCTGTCTCTACTTAAATACAAAAAAATTCGCCAGGTATGGTGGCACGTGCCTGTAATCCCAGCTACTCAACTGAGGCAGGGGAATTGCTTGAACCCAGGAGGCAGAGGTTGCAGTGAGCTGAGATCACACCTCTGCACTACAGCCTGGGCAACAGTGAGACTATGTCTCAAAATAAACAAATAAATAAATAATAAAAAGAAAATATGACCCCTACACTGTACTCTCTCTTGCCCTGATCTAGCATCTAACTTCAACATAAGTCTTGTGGTGGTGGTTCTCTAGTTCATAACCAATATTGTGGACAACCATTTTATTAGTGAATCCAAATACTGAATATGAGCAACTGTTTTTGAAATTTTCTTTCTTTTTTGTTCAGAATGAGAAACTGATTTCACTTACTGATCCTATAGCAGCAGAATTTTACTTTTCCTCAGATTTTTATAAAATTACCATTTATTCTTCTTTCCCTATCATAAGAAACAATAAATTCAGTACACTATCACCTATCACATTTGGGTGTTAGCTGACTTATTTTTGGACACTCAGAATCCACTGCCTTTACTTCTGTAAGAGTACTCGGATTTCCCCAGGGGAATCACCGTCTTCCTGTCTCTTAGTCCATGTGTTTTAAGTGGAGTTGATTCCACCCCAACCTCCAGTTGTAAATGTGACTCAGGCATAGCTAATCAGAATGCCTCGTGAATTTGCAGTGCCTCTCACAAGAGCAGGCAGAACATACTTCCCCATCCACTGATGTTGAGCTTGCCCTTGTGGCTTGCTTTGGCAATGGAATGTGGGTGGAAGTGAGAGTGTCACTTCCGAGCTATCGCCTGAAGAGACATCACATGTTTCTGCTGCTGCTCTTGCACTTCTGCTATCTGCCATGAGAAGGGAATGCCCTGGATAGTCGCCAGTCTCAGAATCAGGCAGAAGGAGTACACCTAAACCCAACCTACAGCTTGAAGCAGCATCCCTCCCCTCCACCATGAGCTAACATGCAGATCAACAAACAAGAAGAATCAATTTTTAGTACTGTAAGTCATTGAAAGTTTGGAGTTGTTTGTTGTATAGAATTATCACTGCGGAAGTCTAGCTAATATATCCTATTTGTGTTGAGATCTGTTCCCTTCTTTCCCTTCTCTGTTCATCTGGCGGGGAGGGCTAATCGTGACGGGTTGCATTTTGTAGGTTTCTCTGTTAACTGGCTTTGGGCAGGTTCAATCAATGGAAATTATTGATGGGAGACTGGAGGATGAGGAGAAGAGAAAAGCCAGGATATTTCTCCCTCACTCTCTTTGCCTCAGATTGCATCTCTGGTAAAGATTGCATCTCCTACATGGCTTCCAGTCCCACTGGGAACACCTCCCCCACCCCCGCCAGTGCTGATGGCCCTGGTTTCTACACTCCTCTTTTGAACTCTAGGCCCTAGAATTGCAGTGGCTTCCTACTGTTGCTAATCTCTGAGTTATTTTACCCGCTCTTGTTTACCTTCTCAACTCTTTTGCAAAACCAAGTCTG